CACCCCCGCCCGCCGGGAACAGCCAGCTGCCGCCATGCCCCTGCTCCCGGCCCCAGGCAGAGCTGGATCCCCGCTACCGCCGGAGCAGAGGTGCCAAGCGCATCCCCGCAGGGCCAGCCGCGGGGGGGGGGGATGGCAGGGGATCCTCTCCTGCTCTGGGGCCAGCCGTGATCCCCCCACACCGTTTCAGGCCCGGCAGACACCTCCGTGAAGATGCTGCGCACTGCATCCCCCAGCCCGGCTGGAGCTGGGGTGCGGTGTCTGTACCGAGATGGGAGCTTGCTCGAAGGCTGGCAGGAGAGAGCATGGAGCCTCCCCATCCATCATGCTGCTGGTAAGCGGGCACCGGCGCCCTTACCCTAATACACCCCGAGCACCAAGCGCTCTGCAAGCACAGCAGGGACCCCGACACCCCCCAGCACCCAGCCGCCTTCCTCTGCAGAACAGGAGCTGGAGGCATTCAACTGGTGCTGCCGGCACGTGGGGAAGCCCCTGTTCTGCACCAGGTTTGCTGAGAAGAGACCGAGGGTCGGCTGCGAGGGATATGTGCCGCCCACCCCTGGTGAGTCCCCAGGGCTCTACTTCCTCTGTGCCAGGGTACTGAGTGGGTGGTACGGCCGTACGTGGGCCCCATGCATTAACCACACTTTGCAGCATCCCGGTGGGGACTGCTGAGACCAGCGCAGCACTGGGGGCTGCTCTCCTCCATGCAATGACACCAGCATTTGCTTTTCTTCCTCCCCCCAAAACGGCTCCATCTCCTTTGGATCCCAGCTGGCGCCTTTGGAGACCCCCACATCGACACCCTGGATGGACTCACCTACACCTTCAATGGGCTCGGGGACTTTGTCCTGCTGCTAGCCAGCGATGCCCGGACCAGCTTTGTACTGCATGGACGCACGGCCCGGACCGGCACGGCCCAGGCCACCAACTTCGTGGCCTTCGCTGCCCAGTACATCTCTGCCACCACCACAACAGTGAGTAGGAGCGACCTGGGTATCAGTTTGAGCTTCTAACCAGGGAGACCCCTCTGGCAGGTTGGGCATCGCCTCTGCATTACCTACAAGTGGCCAGGACCTGAGGAGCATCCCCTCTCCTCTTCCTGCCACCTCCCACGACCCCAGCAAAGTGCTACAAGCAGTGGGTTGGACTAAGACTAATGAGACACAGCTCTAACACCTCTTGCAAGCTGGCCAGCAAGGGACTGGAGCTCTTCAGGAACGTGGTCTGCTCCACCCTCTTCATTGCACACCCTTCACCCTGACCACCGGTCTCCTCTGGACACATTAGCACAAGCGCGTACTCTTCCTTGCTTTGCAGATTGCTCCCCACACCTGTTTCAGTAAGCAAAATCTCCTGGTGTCACCAGAAGCAGCCGTTGAGCAGCGTGAGGAGGGGGCTCAGAGCCTGGAGCCCACCGGCACAGCTCTCCACACTGCCACGGTCAGCCAAGCAGTGGTGGTGGCCGTGCATGCCCCATGCCAGCAGTGACAGGGGGCGGCTTGCTGTCCTCTTCTGGGCAACCATCAAAGCTGCTTTATCATGTGTTTGCTGTGGTGAAAGGCACACCAACACGGCCCCCAGGGCTGAGCCTCTCTGCTGGGGCTGGAGGAGGACAGGGTTTAGCTCGAGTGTCCCCAGCGTGGGGGGACGGCAGGAAGACATGAGCAGAGGGACTGACTGGAACATCTGCTGTGATTTGCAGGTTCAGTGGACCTTGGGGAGCCAGAGTGACATCAAAATCCTCCTGAACAATGAAACCATCCAGTTTTCCTATTCCCAAGGTGAGCAGGATGCGCTGTTAAATGTTAAATATATCTGGGGGAGAGGAGGGGTGTCCCCATCCCACAGGGACCAGCCCTGCCCAGCGCAAGGGCAGCCATCCTGGGCTCCATCAAACATCTCCCACCTGCACCCTGTCTCTGACTTGGCCAGGGTGGATGGGGAGTGCTCACTTCCCCAAATTCAGGGGCATCGTCTCACACCCTAGCCTTGCGTGGACTCCCCCTCTGTGCTCTCCTTCTCTTGCAGACATGGGTGCTAAGGTATACTACAGCCCCGGTGTCCTGCTGGTCAATGCCTCCTCTGTCACGGCCGTCTTTGACGGGGCCATCGCTGTCTCCATCTCGGCCGTCTCCGGTATCCTCAGCGTGGTCTGCAGCCTGCCCGATCGGTACCGCAACAGCACCAAGGGCCTCCTGGGTGAGGACTTCTGGCACTGCTGCAGAGCCGGGGTGCAAAGTCCCTTTCCCACCCTAAAGCAGGCTGGAAAACACTGGGGGAACATGCTTGTGAGGGCAGGGACCCCTGGGTCTAAACTAAATGCCAGCCAGCACCAGACAGGAGGTCAACCCTGGCATGGGGGACTCCAGTCCTCTGGTGATGCTCCACCAGGTGTGTGGGACCACGACCCTGCAAACGACTTCCAGATGCTGAACGGTACCAGCATCCCTATGAACAGCAGCGAGGAGGAGATCTACAGCTATGGGATGACCTGTAAGTCCAGGCTCGGGATCCACCTTGACAATCCCCCCGATTCCTGCACCTTTTGGCCATGCTTTGGCTGGAGACATTTAGACACTTGCCTGAGCAAAAGTGATGCCAGGGAAGCCCTTTGGTCTCCTCACTTCTCTGTGGAAATGAGCCCTAAAATATAACAAACGTTAAAAAGCCAAGGCTGTACCCATGGTGTGCTCTCTTGCAGGGGCTGTTGGAGAGCACGGCCTGTTTGCTCAGCCTCTGGACTCACCGGTAATGAACTTCACACCCATCTTCTTGTCTCGGCTGCGGCAGGAGAACGAAAGCCAGTACCAGCTGGCAGCCTCACAGTGCCGCGGCAGCAAGGAGTGCATCTACGATTTGCTGAGCACAGGGGATGTGGCCCTGGGCCTGGCCACCCAGAACCTCACAGCCGACTTCCAGCGGAAGAAGGCAGTACTCAGTAAGTGGAGCAGATCCTCACCTCCGAGAGGGCACGGCTTGGGTAACCGGGCAGTGCCCTGCTCCCTCCCTGGGCTCTCCTGCTCCATGTGAGGCAGGAGAGTAGTCACCAAGATCTCAGAGTTGCATTGCCTGGCTGGCTGGTCTCCGAGCCTGGGAGATGCCACCAGCAGGATAGTTGCCATCCAGGTCTCGGAGTTGCATTGCGTGGCTGGCTGGTCTCCAAGCCTGGGAGATCCCTCCATGCTGTGCAACATGAGGGCCTTGTTGGTGGGTGGTCATGGCAGCATCTGCCTGGGTTCCCATCCTCACCAGGAGGGACTCGGAGCCAAGGAGTGCCAAGGCCACGTAGCAAACAACCAGCTGTGTGCTGGGCTGCTCTTTCCTCAGACGCCTTCCCTCCGGTCATCACCGGTGACGCATTGCTCACGGCCTTCAGGACAGAAAAGGTCAGGAGGCAGTACCATGCCATGGGGGTGGGCGCACGCTTTGTCCCCCACCTCTCACCGGAGCTCAACATATCGGGTAAGGAATGAGAGATGGGACAGCTGGGACAGGATGGGGGGACACCGGCCACCCAGCCCCTTTCCTCTGCCACCTCCTTTAACTCCCACCTCTCCCCCCGGCAGAGAGCGGCACCCTGACGTGGGAGCCCCGCGGGATGGCCCCGCTCACCATCAACCTGGAGGCTGTCGGGTCCAACAACCTCTCCGCCCTCCTCCAGCTCCGCTTCACCCTTTGCAGCTGCAGCAGGAGCCAGGAGTGTGACTACAGTGACACTGTCACCCTCGGGGGGTCCTCCCTGCAGGTAGTGTGCCGGAAAGCTCCTCCGGTGCCATGCCAGCCATGCCGGCTGTCTTCTCTGTCCACCCGTCCTCCTCATGTCCCCTAAGCCAGTGTCACCATCCCCTTCCCAGCTGGCAGCCTGCAGGTGTGAGGGCGGCTACTCGGGTCCCTTCTGCCAGGACCCTCCAGACCCCTGCGCCCAGGGATGCTTCCCCGGCGTGAGCTGTGACTCGC